AATATATATATATAAATTTTTATATTATATGCATATAATTTACAAAAATAACATAATCTAGATATTATTCAATATTACTAGAAACAGGTTTTACATACATACATACACATATATATATATATATAATGTAATCTATGTATATAGATCATTCTTACGCATTGTACGAAATGATTCGCTTATGATGACTTGTCGAGCGAGCGAGTTTTGTCTAAGTTTGTTTTAATACGATGAGAGAATCGTCCACTCGTCCTTGCAGGTCCACGGCACACGACACTGCAATATCATGAGTTGCTTCAGGTACATGTTGCGCGAGGGTGGCATTAGCAGCCTATGGCGCGGTAATGGCATTAACGTGCTCAAGATTGGCCCGGAAACAGCGCTCAAGTTTATGGCGTATGAGCAAGTGAAGCGAGCTATCAAGGCGGATAATGAGGCGTGCGAACTCAGACTTTATGAGCGATTTTGTGCCGGCTCTATGGCCGGTGGAATCAGTCAATCAGCCATCTATCCCCTTGAAGTACGATTTACCTTATGATTTATATTTTCTTATTGGATTATTACATAATATCAGATTGTGATATGAATTTTTTATATTATATTTCTTATCGAATTTTTATTATATTATATTTCTTATCGTTATGTTTAAAGTTATGTTTTAAATAATACGCACAGAAATGTTTTTTAATTATTACCAAAAAAGATTAATAAGGTGCTTTGTTCTTTATGTAATAAACATTGGGTTATATGTAATGAGAAATTATTTGTGTAGTGTAGAATAAAGTATAGATACATATATGAGTAAAAATATAAATAAACTTGCAGGTATTGAAGACAAGGCTCGCATTGCGAAAAACGGGGGAATTTGATGGCATGGTTGATGCAGCCAAGAAAATATATAGACAGGGTGGTTTGAAATCCTTTTACAGAGGCTACATACCTAATTTGATAGGAATACTGCCATATGCCGGCATCGATTTAGCCGTTTACGAAGTAAGTCATTATTGAAAAGAAGCTTTACATTATTATTTTTTTATTTCGTAACTTAGATACAGTTAAAGGAAAAGATGGATTTCTGCTACTAATGTGGATTCCACTTAAAATTTGTGTTATAATTAATACTGCCTTTTGCAACGATTTTTAACTTATTCTTAGACAGATATCAAAGTTATGAAACAATCTTCAAGTTATGAAACAAACTGATGCGATCTTTTCATTGATAATTGATGTTTATTTATTATGAAATATATCAAAGTTTTTTATTTCAATATCAAATTTAAATTCGTAAGTAACAAGTTTATACAATTAAGAATCAATTTAGTATATAAATTTGTTACTTATGAATTTTAAAGAATTTTTATTCTTATATTATTCTTCTATTTTAAAAAGATACGTTTGAATTACTAAACTTAATTATGGCTGGGTTCAATTTGGACACTCATGCGCTTAAGCGTTTATAATCATTTTGTCTTTATCGTTCATTAGATGTAAAACAAGGATGAAAGCGAAGAAAATCCAAATCGAATATAATTTTGATTTTTACTTGGATGTAATGAAATGTAGATTTTATTTGTTTCTATATTGGATAATATATCCTAATAAATAACGTAGATACTTTATGAAAAACATATTACACATTTCGTTGTTTTTTTTAAATATTTGTGGTTATTATTTTAAAATGATTTTAAGTGATGTCTAAAGGTATGTAACAAAAGTAAATACATTTTTAATGTTCAAATGAATTTTTAAAACTTGAGATTAAGTATTCTAGATCCGAATTCATCTTTCTCTCT